TGACCTCTCTGTTGTTTTAAAATGTGTGGATTTAAAATGTGACTCCAAAGTCTGTTTTACTTTGGGGATCTGTTTGCTGTAATAATGGTTGCTGGTTGTTGATGCAGGCAGGCAGGCTTTAAAATGGAGTTTTAAATGGAGTTTTAAAATGGAGTCTACTGTAGACTCAAGGCTCTCCCCACCACCACCCGTTCTTTTATCTCTCTCTCCCTCTATGCTCTCTTTTTGTGATGAGGAGTTCTGTGCTAAAATAATGCTTGCTTGATTCTGTGGCTTTTTAAAAGGTGTTCTGTTTAAAAGGTGTTCTCCTGCCCTTTTTTAAGCTAAAAGGTGCTTGGTTTTGTTTAACAGGTGCTTGTTTTTAAAGGTATTCTGTTTAGAAGGTGTTCCAATTCCCGCTCCCTCCTTTCCTCCCCCCCTTTTTTTAACCTAAATTCATCTTAGGTCAAAAGAAGAAAAACTCTCCTCCTAGTGGTAGAGTACGGATTAACTGGCTTTGCATTAGTTCCTATGGGAATTAATGCATCAACTTAAGAACGGCACCTCTACATAAGAACCAAAAACAGCCAGAATGGATTAATCAGTTTTCAATGCATTCCTATGGGAAATTTTGGTTCTACTTACGGATGTTTCAACTAACGAACATCTTCTGGGACGGATTAAGTTTGTAAGTAGAGGTTCCACTGTAATGGACTGGCTGGGAGTGAACAAATAATTTAGACAAAACAAAGATGCTCCTGCTCAGACAAGAGGCAGATCAAGGAATAGGGATTCAGCCTTTACTGGATGGATTCCCCCTGAAAATGAAGATTCCCTGTTTGCTCATGCTCTTGGATCCAGCTGTGAGCCTGGATGCCCAGGCTTCATTTGTGATCAGGAACCCATTTCTATGATTCAGCTAGTACACCTGCTACACTAGAGCACATAGTTAATTATGCCTCGTTTGAATTACTGCAATATTTATTATTTATTTATTTACTTGCTTAAAATATGTTTACCCCACCTTTCTCCTTAAAAGGACCCAAGGCAGCTTAAATCATTAAAGACAACATGAGTTTACAAATACTAAAGAAGATCAAACAAATATCATACAAAAACAAAAGCAATACCTAAACACATTTCAAAGCAGTAAGGCACAATAATCCATTTACATTTCAAAGCAGTAGGGCACAATAATCCATTTAAAAACCCCACTCAAAAGAAGCTTGCCTAAAGAGAAAGGTCTTTGCCTGCTTGCAGAAGGAAAGCAATGATGGGGCCAGCCTAGCTTTCTGTGGGAAGGAGTTCCAAAGTCCGGGAGCTCTATATAGGGTTATATTTGGCTAAGGTCTTTCAACAAGATTTGAAAACTTTAGCTGGTTTAAAATGTGGCAGCTAGACTTCTATTCAAAGCTAGTTACAGGAAGCCCATAACTTGTCTGTTACAACAGTTTCACTGGCTGCCAATTCATTTCTGGAGACAAATCAGAGTGCTGGTAGTGATGCATAAAATGTTTTTTAAATTGTTTTCATCTTGATTTTAATACTCATAATTGTTTAATTTTTTTCACATAATTTCTATGGTCACTGTATAGATTTAATTGTTGTGAACCTCGGTTACAGGAAGCCCATAACTTGTATGTTACAACAGTTTCACTGGCTGCCAGTTCATTTCTGGAGACAAATCAGAGTGCTGGTAGTGATGCATAAAATGTTTTTTAAATTGTTTTCATCTTGATTTTAATACTCATAATTGTTTAATTTTTTTCACATAATTTCTATGGTCACTGTATAGATTTAATTGTTGTGAACCTCCCTGGGTCCCCTATAAGGAGAAAGGCAGCATATAAATACTAAGGAAAAAGAGGAAACATGTAAGTAAGAATTTAGAAAAATAAGTCAGTATTAGGGACCTTGGGCAATTGTTTTAACAAATAAATTGGATTAAAATATAGATACATTATTTTTAAACTAATATTTAAAATACCACTATAAACCTGTTACTGTATTACAACTTAAAGCAACCCTTCTTCGAATCTTATGTCCACTCCCAACCCCCAGTAAGGACTCAAGAATCCTGAAGGTACAGAGTGATGATATTTATGAAGAGGAAGGGGGAGATAAAATGGTGGATTTTCCTACATGAGAGCACCACAAACTGCAACTTTTTGATATATGACCCACTGAATATATTTGCCAAGATATTATTGAGTGTCAGCATGATATTTATTTGATAGTACAATCAGAGAAAGAAACATTGGAGTATTAACCCATTTCCCCCTAGCTTTCTATGTTTATACCTACTAAATAATTCTTTAAAACCATAAAATAACAGTTAATTGAAGATGGTAGAGGGCAGAGACTGAAAATGAGAGATGATTCTTAATCAATGATTCTCAAAGGTTGCAAAGTTTAAGAACTTTAGCAAATTAATTCACTTCCTAAATAGAAAATGATAACCAAGGGTTCCCTTCTGAATCATCACATATGCTCATTATCATTATATACAAGGTCACTTACGTTCTGGTTGTTTTTCATTTGGTGTTATAGATCGCACAAAATCCTGTGGGGTCATAAACACTTCAGAGTCTCCATGCTCATTTATTATTTTCAAGGTGGCAAAATATCGGAAGATTTTATCTGGAGTAGAGTATGCTCGAATCCTGTTTTCATATTCCATCACCTAAAGAAAAATACAGATCGTTCATATTTCCTAACTCAAATATACAACTGTTTTAAGTCATTGATACACATCTACATTTGTATATAGAACCTTGGCAAAATGCTGACCAAGGAAATAATTTATTAAGAATACATTATCTACCCTATTTAAAAATGATGTGGGTAAATTTACTATTACACCATCTTTTCTTCAGATTGAGACTCCCATACTTTAATTTTCTTGGTATTCTTCACTACATTTGTTCTAGAGGACGTTTATTTAAAGAAACCAGGATAAAATCCAAAAGAGCTTACTCACAATGCAGTAAAATGCTGTATTTAATTACAAGGAACAACATGGCTATCATTTTGATGACAGGGTGTGTGACCAAGGGATGATACACTGCAAGATCCAAGGATGAAGCATGTCTCAGATTGGAAACAACATAGATACACTTATCATCCATGGCTCAATGTTAGTAAAAGGGATGCTAGGTTCTTCAGCAGACTGCTGGTCTTTTCTTCATCACAACAACATCTCTACATTATGTGCTCTGCTTTTGCCCACATAAGCAAACAAACAAACAACAACCATTGATTTAATAAGGGAAAAAGCAAAGCAGTACAATCAAGAATACCCCTGAAATGAAGTCCATACCTGCTTAAAAAAAACACCTATAGTGTCTGAGGCAAGAGTAGCTCGAATCCTACAACTGTACCCAAATGTTAATATATGAGAACCTCTCCTATCCCTCCAGGGTCCATGTATAACTCACAGCAGCTTACAACCCTTTACAATTACAGTATCATATAAAAACAAAATAATATTTTAGAATCCAGTAAGGATGCAACAAAGACCAGTATCCTATTGCCTCATTCTGCCTGCATAATCGTCTGTTGTGTGAGCAGTGGGCTTCTCAACATCCCCTTACACAAGCATAAGACTTGCTGAAAACAACAGGGACCACCTTTGGTTCCCAACCTTGGCCCCTCAGGATGTTCTTAGACTAAAATTCCACAAAACCTTAACCCACTAGCTGTGCTGGCCAGAATTTTTGGGAGTTGTAGTCCAAAAACATCTGGGAATCCAAGACCGGGAACCACTGCAGAAGCCTGTTGACCAGATTTTGGCCAGAGACTGCAAATACAAATTCAGCTTTAAATAAAGCAGAAGGTACTCTGGAAGGCAAAAGCTTGTCAGCTTAAAAAGTAACATTTGGCAGAAGAAAAGGGGCCACCTGCATTGCGTACAGCACATTGTTGACAAGGATGCAGCGATTGAAAGGACCCTATCTATTGTCACTCATTAATCATACCTCCAACTTTCTGGCCTTAGAATGTGTTCCCTGGCTATGTCAGTGTACAACACTATTTTCAGAACTACCAATTGTCATATAACATTTCTATCAAATTATAATGTGATGCTCAAAATCCTTCTGTAAAGTAGATCATTATTAGTACATCCCCATACTGCAAGAGAAGGGTGTATGTGTTTTTGCTGAACCTGATTCCAAATTATTTTTCCAAAGCCAGTAAGCTGTTTTCCTATAACAGATGAGAACAGATGTGGTGTCTGCCTGGTGTCTTCCAAGCAGACACCACATAACTCACACTCTTAACTACATGAGGTCTTAACAAGCTATTTCCATAAGAACATTTTAATATAATTTCTATTGTGGTTTGCAATAGAAGCTTTAAGAACTCCGATTATGGGCAGGGTGGTAAAGTTTGAAAGTTTTTCTCTGATCAATAGCATATTTTCAAAGGAATTCTAAGCACATAGTGGTGGAGCAAAAGCAATCTGAAAGCTTAGCTCATGTCAGTTTCCTAGCCTTCGCATGCTTAATAAGCTGCAGTTTCAAGTCCAACAAATGAGCCAAAAGAAGGAACCAAGTACTAAAACATTCACCCAACTGCTTTATCTTAATTCAGCAAGGATCTATGCTTGGTTAAATTTTGAAAAATAAGAAAGAAAAAGCTGATGCAGCAATTTAATGACCAAATGCCATCTCTGAAGCTCTCTATAATCCATGCATGTTGTAAATTGGCTATTAAAAACCAGATAATTCCATAATATGGAAAATACACACATGCAATAGAAATAATTCAGAATGTTCTCACTCTTGTCAATGACTGCATTCATATTCCACCTTTCTTCAGGACTGTGAACTAGAGCCTTTTCTTCTTTCTTTTCTGCTCATGACAACCCTGTGAGGTTTGCTTAGGCTAAGAAGCAGCAACTTGCTCAAAGGCACACAGGGAGATTTATGGCTAAACAGTGATTTAAATTCAGATCTCTCTACTGTACTCTAAACACAACATTAGGATCATAACACCATACTAACTTTCTTTGTATCCTAACAGCAATTAACACTGAGAACACAGATCAAATTTCTGACTTTACTGAATTTTGATTTAAAAAATGTTTATTTCCAGTTATCTCAATGAGCAAAACTGAAATTAAAAGTCCTAGTAAATTTCAAAATACTACATAATTATGAGATTCCTCAACAGTAAAAGACAAGTCCATTCCAGCAGAGAAATAAAGTCTCCCACAGTGCAGTTATACTTGCAGGAATCTCCTGCTCTTGTAAGCATTCAAGGTACAACAGGTACAACAGGTAAACGCAGGCTGGCAGCCCTTTGTTAATTGCCTTTTTAATGGTACCAACATTGGAATAGTTCCCACATCCTAAAGCTTAAACAAAACCTATTTCCCTGCACCTGCCTTTTTAAAATGTATAGACATAAGCATAAAACAGTTAGCAGCTGGTTGTTGTATATATACATTCATTTGCCTATGCAGAGTGCCAGGACATCCAAGAACCTCCCACACATAAATAAAAAAAAAACACATCTTGGCTAGGAACAAAAGATCTGGCAATGGGCCTTAGACTTGGCTCTCTTGAATAGCTCCCCATCCACCCACAACATAAAGAATGAAAACACCTTAGGGGCATTTTGTGGCATGCAGTTCTTCTATTCAAAGGGCGAAAAGACAAACATTTTACCAGTTCTTGGCCCATGGAAGGGCCTGAGGTTTACGTGCTCAACTTTCCCTTTCTCTCCTCCAGTGCAGTTGCAAGGAAAAAGTTAGAAATTTTATTTTCTGTTTTCAGTCTGTGGTCCTCAGTTGCCACAGATCTATGCAGTCTGCAGCATCTCTGGCAGGATGCCCTACTTCAAAAACCTTCCCTGTGCAAAAAGGGAAGAACACCTGGAGAGCTGGCTGGATTTGAGATTTCAGAAGTTTTAAACACCTAACTACAAGTATCCTTCCCATCCAGACAGCAGAAAACACCAAAAATGTTGTTCTGACTGGAGTCACACTTCCCAAAAGTGTTCCTACACATGAATGTTGTTAAAGTTTAGCACTGGCACATAATGCATGTGGCCCATAGAGTCTCTCATGTGCCTCCTGCGCATCTAGGACCCTCAAAACCCCTTGCCCTGATAAAACATTTAAATTTTTTGGAACAAAAAATGGCTCCAAAAGTCCCCTTTTGCCCTCTAGGGGGCAGGTGAGCTATTCTGCTATGTTCTGAGGCCTCCAGCATCTCAGCTCCCACCCCTCATTGAAATGTAAATATATACACAAACACCCACTCATCCACGGTCAGAAAAGGGCACCTGGGTCTTTTTCAACATCCCTCCCCCATGTCTGTAAGACAAAAATGAGACAGGAGAGCATGAGCACCTATGGAAATCAGAGGTCCAAGAATGGTCCATCTGTGGATTAGTCTAAAGTCTGAACAAGGTTCTAAAGTACCTCTTCCAACTGCTGTTTGCTGTGTCTTATATATTGCTAAGTCACCTCCCATTTATTTCAACCCTAATAGGGCTTTTACTAGTGCCACACACACCCCACCATAAGTGAGTTTTCATGGCTCAGCAGAGATTCAAACCCAGGTTTCCTGAGTCCTAACCCATCACTATCCACTACACTATACTGGGTACTTCAACCATTATTTTTCACTGCTTTACAACCTACAGTAGTCAGCTTGCTTCAAGTTTCTATTTCCTTTATGTTTTCATTTATCATGGAGTTTATCATGGAGTAATTTTGTATTATCAGCCATACTTTACGGTCCCGAAATCCAGAACGCTTCTTCTTCTTCTTCTCCCCTTCTGCAAGAGCATCTTCATCACTTGACTCCACAGCTTTCCTATCATCACCCTCTTCATTCACTACTTCTTCTCCACTTTTCACCTCCTCCTCAGGCTCTGTTCTTACATCGCGTTTCACTGATGAAGGTGCTTGTGCCTGAGCTCTGGAAAAAAAGAGTGGAAGAACATATGAAACAATGAGGATTTTCTGATCACTTGAAATTCCTATTTTAAAAAGCTCCAATACGAGAAAAGTGGCAAAATCATCACTTGGACAAGAAGTGGAAGTCTTATTCTAGTTGTCTGTAACCATAAATCTGGTCATGTATCTATTACAGCCAAATCTCTACAGCTGTTTGTTAGATATTTCGATGGTAAAGAATTTTAACCCTTTAAAAGGCAGCTTTGCCAGAATTAATAAGGCAACCTTCCAAAATTAACAAGTTCTTGTGTTCATTTCAACTTTTGCCTTATTTCTCACTTATTTCTTAGTTCCCCATTTGAAGTTCAACTTAACTAACTTATCTTGATCATGACAGAGTAACTGATGAGGCACATTTTGTATGGAGGTTTTAACAAAAGAGTACAAGATAGGAATTTTGCCTCATATTCAAAGTGTGAATTATAAAGTACAGGGTTTTGTTTTTTTCAAAATAATGGCCATGATTTGTTTTAGGACCCATGTTTGAAATTTTTTTTCAAAGGGAAAAGCCACCTGACAGCATGCACTAAGTTTCAAGCATAGCTTAGCTCACTTTTAAAGCAGTTGGAACACACTGTGATACATAAGTCCATCAAGAGCTATCAGCACCACATCCTGCCTATAATCCTGATCTGTTAACCATAGTTAAACCGGAGTTCTCTAGTGGAGATATACATGGAGACTCTTACTGAGTGTACACCAGCATTTCTATTTCAAAGCCAGAACATGGGGCAAGAGAGGAGCACACTGCTACAGCTTCATAAGCAATGGATTAGGAAGCTGCAGAACAATCTTCATATTATAGCACTGAATAATATGAAAGCTTGACACTTGCCCTTCAGCAGCAGTATCCAAGGGAACAGATCTCCTCACTCAGATGTTTTCATCTGGCAAATTAATCCCATTTTTCTTATGGGATGGTACAGGTGGAAAGACATTCATTATCTAGAGACAATTTAAGTATTCATTTATTTAAAATACTTATACTCCACCTTTCTCTTCTAGACTAGAGGACCCAATGCAGTTTACAATATTAAAAGAAACCGCATTAAAAGCTTTAAAAAGAGTAGATTGTGCATAACCAGTATAAGCACAGACTTTCCAGCCCTTTGAATATATCTTTTATAATTTTTATAACAGACTGGCATCTTCTTTGCTGTCCTTCCGCAAGCAGTCAGGCTTTTTCTCAATAAGTGGCGGTTCTTAAAAATAGGGCTGCTATATTTTTGCTAGTTTTTTAAAATCTGTTTCTAGAATGGCTTGAGACTATTTTTATTCATTAGCTTTAAAATTGATATCTGTTTAATCTTTTTTTAATGTTGTAAAATTTTGCTATATTTCAAGCTTTTAATACTATTTCTTTTAATATCGGGCCCTCTTGAGAAGAAGGGTGGGCTATAACTATTTTAAATAAATGAGTATTCAAATTGCCTCCACAGTGAATGTCTCCCAACCTGTAACCTTCACAAGAAAAACTGGATTAATTTGTCAGATGAAACAATATTTCTTACCTTCCTTTCCCAGCATTTCTATATATACCTTGTACAAGTCAAGAGAAAATTAATTTTTTAGGGTTAGATTTTCTTTGGCTCATTCTAGAATTCACCTAACCCAGGTAAATCAACCAGATTAAATATATAGTCACTCAGTTCTTTCTGGATTAATACAGAAGTACATGCTGTTATAGACACTTACACCTCATGGTATTTCATTCTACTGAATAATGAACAGGTGAGGCACTAGAACTTTCTTCCAGGTATAACAATATTGATCACAATATAAGCTTCTCATATGAGCATGAGAATTCTTTTAAAAAATTTCAAGCCCTCTCAATAAAACAAGCAGTTCAAGCAATAAAGGAGGAACTATATATTGGCTTTTCTGTCAGAAGTGCAATTTTCACAGCAAACAACCCCTCTGGCCTACATTCTGTTGATTTATTTTTGATCCCCAAATAACCAATGAATCAGACAGCATTGTTTTCACTTACAAATTCAAAGAACCTATCATGGAAAGAACTGATGGTAATGTTAAGTAGATGGTTTCCACAAGCTACAAAACAAGGCACAGAAACATGGCACTGGAGGTTATGCCAATGCAACTGAAGCAATTACAGTATGTCTCTCAGATCATTCTTATCAAGGTCCATATATATTTATTCATCTTGCAAACGGCAATGCCCTGCAATGACCATGCTTATAACTGGGCCTTAAACAAATACAGTATCAGAAAGAAAAGCACATACTTCTACACTCTTCCTCTCAGATTAAATGTTTAAGAATCACTACCATTTGGGTTTTATAAACACTAAAAATAATAAGATACTACTGTACTACAATAGCAATATTAAGAAGATATAGAAGAACAGGTTATTGTGAGAAGAAAGGCAGAAGAGTCATCTGTTCCACCTGAGCGCCATCCCCTCCTGCCTCAGAAAGAGGAAAGAAGCACAGAGACCACAGCTGTGGGAAACAGAAAATAAGAAAAGGAGAGGCCACTTGTTGGAGAAAGGAGGGAAAGTGAGAGGAAAAAGGAGGGGGAAGCAAGGGCAAAATCCTCTGACAAGAATGAGGGAAGAAAAAAGAAAAAGGCAGGAAATCTGGAACAAGATCAGGAAGGCAAGGAAGTGAAGAGGAAAGATATAAATAGAGTGAGCATAAGTAGGGAGGGGAGAGAGATAGAAGCAGGAGAAGCTGAGATAAGGAAAGAAGAAGCCAATACTAGCTGAGGGTTAGGAGTGGATTTGGAGGGACCCATAAGTCATACGGATGATGATCTCAAAGGAAGAAGCAGAAGGGTACCAGAATTACTGTCCACCCTTCATACTGGAGGGAGTGTGAAAGCAGAGTAGAACAGGAAAATAAGAGCAAAGGGTGTGGATAGATAGATAGATAGATAGATAGATAGATAGATAGATAGATAGATAGAGAGAGGGTGTGGATAGATAGATAGATAGACAGAGAGAGAGAGAGAGAGGCAAGAGGAGGAGACATGGAGGACCCAGCACCCAGGAAAATTTGGAAATTGGTGTTTGAATAGAAAATTAGCATCATCTTCTTGCACTCTGTACAGATATTCAATATGCCTGGAGGCTGGTGGTATCAAAAAAGGTGTATGTCAAGACTGTGTGATAGGCTTCATCAACGTAGGTAACATTGAAATTTGTAATGGAATGTTAGCAGTAGATGTTATTCTTTTGGAAACTGGGGCAGAGACTTTAGGCTGTGGTTTCCATATTTGAAAGCTTAAAAGATTTAGCCATTCTCATCATGACATTAGCACAGGTACGAACGTCATCAGATGGGGACAATGGCTGTACATCCCCTACATTGAAGTCAGGTGATGAAACAAACAGAGAGTGTAGTCCTAGTGAAACCTCATTAACATCATCCAAATCACTGGAATCAATCTCAGGTGAAACCTCCTGTTATGGTACCTTTTCCTGTGGTAACTGAAGGGCCAGCTGCTGCAGCATCATTGTTGATTCCAATAGACTTGGATCTGGAGGAGGGGGAAAATTTACATCCACCAGTTGAGCTTCCCAGCAACAACCTCAGATGTGTGCCACTGATAGTCTGGAGAGCTGTCATGATATTGAGCGGTCCTCCCAACACACATGGACTATTTACCACTTGAACAAGTTGAAACGGCAACCAGATCTCTTTGATATCAACGTCTTAAAACATGGGGACTGTAGGTCTTTGTGGTGTCTCTAACGATTCCAACCTAAATGTTCTCTCAACGTCTAAGTCATGAACAAGAATGGGAATGAGACACGGACAATTTCCAAAACCAGATCTAAACAGCAGAGAAAGGTCAGTCCATAAATCTATAACAGTATGGAGGTTATAAAGTAATAAGGTGATGGATGAAATTGGTGTTTACAATGGCCTCATTCCTGGGACAGAGAGCAGGATCATCAGCGTCAATGTGTTGAAGATCGAGATCAAGATCTGGAACAGGATCAACAATAACAGAGTCTCTGTGCAGAGATTCAGTCAACATAGAATGAATTGCTTTCAACTACTTCTCCCACAGAAACAGTTTTAAATGATATTCATGACTGCAGGAGATTACCTTTGTAAATCCCTTACAAATCAAATATTTTTTCATTAAATGTCCTTCACCAAGGCAATAGAGGCATTTGAAATGGCCATCAGCCTGAGGAATTTTTGCTTCATACTTTTTCATTAAGGCTGCAATGGCCATTAAATATTGGTGGGAACCCACTGAGGAAAACGAAGCAGAGAAAAAAGGAGGAGGGGAGAAGGATTCTAAAATGAGGAAGAACTAACCTTATTTTTGTTTTTTAGGCAATAACAGCAATAGAGAAAGGAGATGAATGGTAAATAAAACTTTTCAAAAAGTACAAATTGGGCAAGCATAAAAAGTTTTAGGCAGACTCTAGTCTCCAAGATTTTGCTAGCATGGTGGATAGAAATGGACTGAGGTGAAGAGGAGAGGCATGCACAGTAGACTAGGGAGGAGGAGAAAAAGCTGGGCATTCAGGCTCTAATAGTTCCCAACCTTGGGTCCCCAGATATTCTTGGACTAAAGCTTCCAGAAGCCTTCACCACTAGCTGTGCTACCTAGGTTTTCTTGGAGTTGTAGTCCAAGAACATCTGGGGACCCAAGGTTGAGAAGCACTGCTCTAGCAGATTCTAATGATGTACCATGCAGGCATGTTAAACCAGGTACAGTGGTGCCTCGCTTGACGATTACCTCGTTAGACGAGGAAATTGCTTGACGATTAGTTTTTTGCAATTGCTAAACAATGATTCAATGAGGTTTTTCCGTTTTACGACCATCGGTTCCCTGCTTCGGGAACCAATTTTCCACTTAACTGACAATAAAAACAGCTGATTGCCGGGTTTCAAAATGGCCACCCACTGTGCAAAATGGCTCCCCGCTGTACTTTAGGATGGATTCCTCGCATTACAGGCACTGGAAAATGGCCTCCCT